CCCCTCTCTAGTTCGCCGGCTTGGAGTTCAGATCCGCCCGGGTTCCGGATTGATTTTATCTCGCTGCGCTGGTGGCGAACCCTAACCTGCTGGCCTGGATTGGGTTATCGCGGGAGATCAGTCTAGCTCTGGTGCTCTCTTTGCTCGCCCTCGGCGATCTACTCCGAAATAGATCTCTATGGGGTGGAAGGGTACTCCAATCCAGTCCAGCCCACCCCAATCAAATCCATCCAATTCGTTGCGGCCCGGCCTGTGGAAGCACCAATTGCCAGCTGATTCCAGACTCCAGAGGATACTTTACTTGGGTTCAGTTCAACTGAATGCCTTGTGCCGTAGGTCTAGGATAAGAGGGATCCTTCTTGATCTGATGAAGGTGGCAGCACCTTGCTCCGGGGAAAAGGGGGCGATGATTCCCAACACACAACAGGGGTTGTACAAGGGGAATGAATTCTTGAAACAGCTCGGCTCTGTCTTTTCTTTATTTCCTCTCGGACAGGCCCTCTTTTTTCATTCGAATGGAAGGGGGCATATGTAGTTAGTCTAGTATATGATAGCATCGAGCTTCAGGATTGGGCGCGGTCTTCCGTCTTGCCGTCTAGCGCAAGCGTGCATGTTAACATAAGAATGATATTTTGTAACTAGCGGCGCCCTTCGACTGACGGCGTTGCTTGATTTTAGCTCATCCGTACAATCGTGGATTCTAGCGTGACGTGATCTGTGTTTGTCGACAGGTGCCGAATGGAGGAGGTTGACCCCGCCTCAGCTAATAGCCAAGCTTCGACTGGTGATGCCGCGGCAGATCAGCCTATCAACGTGTACGTGTGGGACTTGGATGAAACACTTATTCTGCTCAAGTCCCTGCTAGATGGGTCGTTTGCCGGGCATTTTGAGGGCCTCAAGGACCATGAAAAAGGTACTGAAATAGGCAAGCGCTGGGAGAACATCATTCTTGAACTCTGCGATGAGCACTTCTTCTATGAGGAGGTCAGTCGACACCTCAAATCTTGTCTGCTGACAGCTTACTAGAGCAATGTGTTTCTCTATGCACGTCATTGTGCATATGGATAGGCCATCTGGCTGCACATTTTACAATGTGTGTCCATGTTATATGTCATTGCTATCTACTGATAGTCTTGTTCTCTCACGTATGCAGATTGAGAACTACAATCAACCCTATCTCAGTTGTTTACATGAGTATGATGATGGGAAAGACTTGACAAAATATGATTTTGAGGCCGACTGCTTTAGTTCTCCTTTTGATGATGTGAATAAAAGGAAGCTTGCCTACAGGCATCGTGCTATTGGAGACAAGTATGCAAAGGTGTCACAATAATTAATTTATCTCACTCTATTTCCTTCAACTTTTGTTAAATGATTAAGCAGTGTTGTTGCATTTAGAAGTGACCTTCTACATATGCTGACATCCAATGTCCATATTACTCTTGTAAAAACTATAATATTTCATTCCGTTTCATGAAAATGACTGAACAACTCATATAACATGATGAGTGAATTCATATAGTAGCAGTCTCTGTTTTCTGTAGCAGCATCTTCTTTTGTGGTATTTGGTTGATAGTGCTCAGGCCTAATCCTTGTGATGTTTGTACTTGGCCTTAATTTTCGACGGTGTGTAGAAAGTGGTAGTGCTATGTTAGGCAATTCAGTGTGCAAACTTTTTGTTCGTACAACTCCTTCGACGTGCATATCCTGATCTTGTAACACAAGACATCCAGTTTTGTTTAGAGATGTCAAGATTTTTTTTCCTTATGAGCTTCCAGACTGCGTGGTAGTCTAATAAACATCTGGTTATTTCTGCAAGAGCTTTATATTAAGCACTGACCGTATTTAAATAGTTACCATAGTTTTTTTTTTTTCCTTTTTTGGCTTTCCGTGAGGGTGGGGGTGGTCTTGCATCGAGGTGATGGGCAATGTCAAGAAAGTGTCTGTGTTCTGTAAATTAGGATCAGGCAGCTGAACTGCAGTAGGTATATGAGATTAAGTGGACACCAGAACAATGGTAAGATGCCCCTTCTGCAGTGATTCACCAGCAGTTTTGTGTTTCATTGCAAGCACTTTTGTACAGAGGTTTAGATCTTAGCAAAAAACTTGGTTTAGAAATGGTAAGTAAATATGAGGTCTCGTAAGTTCTGTACTGGGTATTTTCAGAGCATCGTAACTGAATAAACACTTCCCTGCCATCATTTGGTAATTGAATGCTCTTCAGCTTCTGTTTAGTTGCAACTTTTGGACTTATTATTGCTGCAGTCATTAATTTCTGCATTCTACTATTTCTGTTTGTGTCATGTTTGAACTACTAAGCTCAGCTGCGTTGGTGTTTCTTCAGGGTTTGCAAAAAATTCTGGACCACCGCATGTTCAAAGTCTGGAGTGATTTGTATAGTTCAACAGACAAATATACTGATGGCTGGCTTTCTTCAGGTATTCTGATTCATACTAGTTTGGGGGAACTTCTTTTACTAATGAGAAAGTATCAATATTCAATCAAGAGATACTTCTGATATTTTGTTTGTGGTTGGCCAAAAAAGGTTGTGGACATCCATTGTGGCTATAAGTATTATTTCCAAAAGTCGGCTAGTGCCTAATAGCGCTGCTTAATGCAAATTATGTAATCCAAGATAATAACTGTAATATCAAATCAAGAGACTGCTGAATTTTCTACTTTCAGTAAGTGGAAAAGAAGAGGGTGCTTTCAGTTTCTTGGCGCACTAGATTATGCTATGATCATGCTATACATGTTTACCACCAAGAGAATACATTACGTAATGAATAATATGTTACAATCTAGAATTTTGTTTTTGGGTTTCCGTATGTACCGTTGGTTGGGAAATATGTTCAAGTGATGTTATCCTTTGATAGCATTCTTGTTAACTTTAATAACCTTTCTCTGCACTGAAATTGTTTGCCTACTCTAAAAAAACTGAATTACATGTACAATCTAAGCTTACTATTGATTCAATTTTGTATGCTTGAATACTCAATACCGTTCCCCTGCTATGCAGCTCATAAGTTGCTGGAAGAAGCGCTGGGTAAATCAACAGCTGAGCCTGTTGTCAAATCTTCAAGTATCAATTGCATAGTTACTTCAGGGTCCCTGGTTCCGAGCATTGCCAAATGTTTGCTGTATCGCCTGGACGATGTGGTCTCATCAGATAATGGTTCGTCTCTAATGTTGTCACAACTGTTTTCGACCGCTTCATCTGTGTTGCATATTGCAAGCTGTGAATCTGTTACCTGAAATATACTAATGGCAACAAATTGTCTCCTTGCATGAGCAGTTTACAGCTCGTGGGAATCGGGGAAGCTGCAGTGCTTCAAGTGGATCAAGGAACGCCATGGCGGCCCGAACGTCCGCTTCTGCGCGGTTGGAGACGGCCCCGAGGAGCGCAGCGCAGCTTCCATAATGAAATGGCCGTTCGTCAAGATCGAGATCCGCCCCGATGCTCCTCACAGGTTCCCCGGCCTGAGCCTGTCGACGATCCATGGCATCATGGACGCCGTGTACCAGTCATCGGGCAAAGACGGTTGACCTCTGGTGCGCGAGGCGGCATAGATGTCTTGAGGCATCAGTCGCCATGGACGAGGAGTCCAGTCAGGTGATAGTTCAATGGAACCGCATAGTGGAGATACCATATATATAGGAGGCATATTGCCCTCCCTGCCTGGAGGATCCGGGGACGCCTGTGAGATAAATAAAGAGCGCCCGACCATATAGTTTGATCCGTTCCGGCATGTTTGAATTGAATTCTGCCAGTGTTTGCCCACCTTACTGTCATCTGGGGAATCGTCTGCTGATGTAAGTCGTAACCGTTGGTTGGTTGTTGTGGCAAGTCTGTATCTTTGTGCTTTGGCATCTCAGATTTGATGGTGTACATGGGAATTCTGGTCCAGCGAAAAGTTCATTCTAGTCCCCTGAATTGCCAAATCCTTGACTACCTCTTTGGTTTGCAGGCAGTTCTTTTACAATTTGTTACCAAGTGTTTCCTGTGAAATCCATGCAGTACATTTCAGGAGGCAGACTTTTTTATTTTTGCAGGGATTTTGGAGTCGGGCTTTTTCTATTTTCTGGAGTCAGACTTGGGCAGATCCATGTTACAAATACTCCTCGGTTACTGTTTTTCCCATGAAACGAGAACAAGAGCTAATCAACAAATATTGAAGAGATAACAACAGTGTGTCTAAATCAATCTTCAATCTTATACTCAATGCTAGATACATCCATTTAAGCGACAACCAATTCCAGACGGAGGAAGTACAAATCAAATGACAAACAAACACTGAAGAATGAACAACAATGTTTCTCAACCGATCTTAAACCAAAATGGCAACTTCTTGCAGTTGAGATCTGAAAGAAAATTGTTTTTATCAAGATGAAAAGGTGATAGTTTCCCCTGACGCATTGATTAGTATCTTAGGTGTCCAAGATGAAGAGGTGTTGCTTCAATAAATCTATGGAAGTTCAGTCTGTATTAATACATGGAGATACGCCATGAAAATGAGCACCTATCATATCTGTGAATAGAAAAGGCATTAATACAAGGATATCCAAAATGAGAACCAACATATTTGTGCATACCTAAACAATAGTCATTCTGATACCTATGTTCAAACTGTATACTGCATTTATGAATCACCAACACATCCGCGCAAGCAAAAGCATAAGACCAACATTGATCATTTCGAAATCCTTATCAAGCTGTGTTGCATTAGCATACAACTAGCACTAATATCAGGAGATCCAAAGTGAGCATCAAAATATCTACATATCTCTGCACTAAATATACACTAATCCTTTGGATATCCACTGCCAAACTGGATACTTGCATTCACGAACCCCCACTATACCTGATTTGTATAAATACCTATGCATATATCACCTCAATCCATCCAACCATCCATCCATTTCTGCCTCAGGCATCGGTCTCTATCCATCTATCCCCACCACACCCAGCCAATTCAAGGCTTCTCGCAGGCCTTGCGGCAATGGCAACATCACATATGACCACCACCGTCTTCTCTGCCATCGTCATCATTCTTCTTTCCTCAGCCATGGCCGCTCAGAGCAGCGGCGATGTCGGTGGCAAGAAGCCCAAGCCTACTGACTTCATGCTGGAAGCGTGCAAGAATGCCTCGAACTGGTCCAAGAGCTACAACGAAGGTTACAACTACGTGACCGCGGAATTTTGCATCTCGACCCTCCTCTCCGACAACCGGAGCGCCGACGCCAAGGACCGTCGCGACTTGGCGCTCATACCCGTCGACATCCTCAAGGAGCGTGTTGTCACCGCCGGTGGCAACGTCAAGAAGATGCTGCACAGCACCAAGAACAGCACGTCGACGACAGCACGCCATCTCAGAATCTGCGAGCTGGACTACACGGCCACCGCGGGCATCCTCAGCTTCTGCGACGCCTTGATGAGGGACTACCAGGGTGACAGGAGAAGCGAGGACGAAGACAACGACGGGCCCCTAAACTTCGAGCTGCCTGAATGTGTGGACGAGGCGAACGAGGCCTGGGGCTACTGCGGGCTTGCTCTTCTTCATATACCGGGGGCGGAGGCGCTGGTCAAGGAAGGCGATGAACTACAGATGCTGATGAATCTCAGCATTGCCTTGCTATCACCATACAGACTGGACTGATTCATGACATGCTTTTTTCTGCCAGAAAAAAACATACAGTATTAATGTTGCAACGTCAATTCTACTTCCATTTGGAATAATAGGAATAATGCTTCATCATCATATATAGAGTATTTTTTTTTTCGATCAGAAGGGCCACGCGGCCCCCATTTTCATTACGAAAATGGAGTCACAGCATACGAATCAAGTTTCATACAGACTTAAACTTTTTTCGATGCCTAACATATGCATCATGAAAAAAAACTACTCCTACATCTTGAGGCACTTCAACTGCACCTACAGGATGCTACAACATCTTGAAGCTCATCAACATCTTGAAGCTCATCAACAAAAAGCTTCATTTTTGCATCATGTGAAATAACTCACTACAACCTGAGATACCAAACTCTGCACCTACAGGGTGTTATAGCAAAAGAACAAGAGAGATCATCGCAAATGCTACATCTATCACCACTTGATCAACAGAGCCTCCGTACAGCAGGCCCCCAACCGTAAGCACGCTTGAAGACGTCCCTCGCTATCTGGGCCAACCTCTTGGTCACTTCCTTAAGAGTTTTTTGCACTCCTCTTTTCTGTAGCACACCCCACGAATCCAACACAGAACATAAGGAGAAGATAATATCAGTAGGATCTTTAGATAAAGAACTTTGAAAGCAAGATTTATTTCTTGTTTTCCAGATCGACCATAATAAAGCAGCCGTACCAATAGCTATAACCACTCTATCTTTCCCAGTATACTTAGGAAGCCAATTCTGGCAAAAGTCAAAAAATGACAAGGGTGTTTGGAGATTTCCCAAAGCACTCCCAACTACATTCCAAAGAAACCGAGCAAAAGAGCAAGTGAAAAACAGATTGTCAATACGTTCATTTGCATCACAAAATTCACATTTGTTGGTGCCTTTCCAGCCTTTTTTACACAAATTGTCCTTGGTCAGGATCCTCCCTTTGATAACTAACCAAATAAAAGCCTTAATTTTCAAAGGTACCTTCAGTTTCCACAGAAACTTAAAAGGGAACACTACTCTCCTAGCAATAATTTATTGATAACGAGATTTAACAGAGAACTGGCCAGAGCTGGTCAAAAGCCATTTGACTTTGTCAGGTTCCTCACTCAGAACAACCTGACCGCACATATCTAGAAGTTTATTCCACATATCCAATGTCTCCCCGTATAAACATCTCCTAAATCTAATGCAGTTAAAATCTTGTTCAAATGCTTTAGCAACTGTAATGTTTTGATGGAAAGTAAGTTTCTACAAGCGAGGAAAAAGTTGACAGAGAGGCTTGTTGTGGATCCAAGCATCTTCCCAAAAACTAGTTTTACACCCATCTCCAACAATTCTCTGGCAGCATTTGTAAAAGATATCTTTAACACTCATGATACCATTCCAGAAATGAGAGTTGGCAGGAGATGACTCACATTGAGACAAAGTTTTCCTCTTCAAATACTTTGCTCTAATCATCTCCTGCCAATCCCCATCTTCATTCTCAAGACTCCAGAGCCATTTACACAAAATACTAATATTCTTGATATCCAGATTAGTAACACCCAACACCCCTTGGTCTCTAGGTTGACAGACATCAAGCCAGTTAACTAAATGAAACTTCCTAACCCCCTCTTTCTCTTGCCAAAGCACCCGAGCTCGAAAGAAGTCGATTCTTTTGCCTACTCCCTTTGGTAGACGGAAAAAGTTAAGTAAATGACTAATGACGTTACTCAAGCAAGTTTCAGTACGGATAAGCCTACCATCCATAGATAAAAGAGCCCCCTGCCACGCTGCAACTCCTTTCTCTACTTTTTCTTTCGCTGGCTTCCGGTCAGCATTACAAAGCTTTTTATAATGCAGGGGAAGACCTAAATACTTAAAAGGAAGGTAACAGGATTTTTATAACGCTGGCTTCCACCCATAGAGTACTTTTTATAACGCTTGCTTCCACCCATAGAGTATTTATGTCCATTGATTAATTTCCAATCTTTTTTCTGAAACAAGATTTGACAAAAACCATGGCGTTCCATGCAAATCCAAAAAGCTAACAAAAGGTAACAGGATTTTTCATTAATGATTTCAGACAACTGGAACATAGACATCCTCAAGAAGTTCACCATAATCACTGCAATTATCAAAGCAGTATGACACAAAACTTTGTCGATCTGTTACTCCCTCCTGTAGGAGAGAAGGATTAGGAGGAATGATTCACCACACTTTTATTAAGCTCTCGGCTGAGTCTTATGTACAGATTACAGGGCCAGCCAGGGAGATCATGGGGTGATCCACTACCTGGGATCGTGCGCCACGATCATATACACACACGCTACACCTAGTGTCTACGCAACTAC